AAAAGAAAAATACAGATGCATTATAAACATTGAAAATAACCAAAATAACTTAAAATAATTATAGTATGGTGTTTTCACCTTATATATTTGCAAAGATCCATAAAATGAGAATTCTCAAATTGCTTTCCAGAAGGACTGCATAAAATTATATTCATGTGTCACTCATGTTTCAAGTGGAGAGCGGCTCTTCTTGAGCTGCAGCAATCAGGAAAGACTGTCTGGGAGAGGCGGGGCTGGGATTGGGACTTTAAAAGGGGGATAGGATGTCTCGTCTACATCTCTACAGCTACACTACCTGTGTTTTAAAAACTCATGTAAATGAGGAGGGTATAGTGAGGAGGAAGTGGTAAAGTGCATGCTTAGCTCAGCATGCATGAGATCCAGGGTCCTGGGTTCAATCCTCTAAAAATAAAGAAATAAATAAACCTAATTACCTACCCTCCAAAATAAACTTAAATAAATAAATCACTCTTCAAAAAATTTTTTTTAATTTTTAAAAACTAATGAGTTTACAAAAAAAAAGAAAAACTCATGGAGTTTAAATTATTCCACTTAAATTGCTATGGAAAGATTTGATCCACCACAGTGTATAATAAAGGATACATAATAGTGAATTCAGCCCTCTCCTTCAATCCGAAGGTTTTTATTGGAGTTTCTCCTATTTAATGGATGACTAAAATATTCTTAGAAGAAAAAAAATGCTCTAGCAACTATGAGGGAAACAAGGAGAATCAAAAGGGTGTTATGTCTTCAAGGAGTTTACTATGGATGGCGGGGTGGGTTGCCCAGAACCCAAAAAGGTACTCAGCCACAGATACCCCAGACATATAAACCAGCAGTGCTACCACCTCAAGGTCAGAAGCATGTCACGAGGCCAGAGCCCAAAGTGGATGCTATGGCATTAAGAGAGTAAAAATGCAAACCACCAACTGGGGGACGACATTCACAGTAAGTATACATCCAACAAAGGGCTCACATCCAAAAATATGCGGAACTCCCACAGATCAATAAGAAAAAGACAAAAGACTTAAACAGGCACTTCACAAAAGAGGACATTGAAAAAGCCAATAAGCATTCGAAAAGTTGCTCAGTTTCGTTAGTCAGTAGGGAAAAGCAAAAGAAAACCACGCTGAGATAGCCCTACACTCCCACCAGAATGGCTTAAAATGAAAAACTGATAATACCAAGTGTTGACAAGGAGATGGAGTGGCGGGAATTCTCAAACACTGCCAGCATGAATAGAAACTGGTACAACTGTAAATTGGAAAACTGTTGAGTGAATCTACTAAAGCTTAATTTATGAACATTCTGTGGCCCAGCAATTCGACTCCTAGATATATACCCAACAGAAATGTGTACATATATTAAAAAAAAGGCACATACTAGGGTGTCCATAGCAGCCTTCACTATTCATAACAGTCAAAAACTGAAAACCACCTAAAAAGTGCACCAAGAGATAATGGGTCTAAAAAAGAATGAAATAATGCCATTTGCAGCAACATGGATGGACCTAAAGATTATGATACTAAGTGAAGTAAGTCAGACAGAGAAAGACAAATATTATATGATATCACTTAAAAGTGGAATCTAAAAAAATAATACAAATGAACTTATTTATGAAACAGAAGAGATTCACAGTCATAGAAAACATACTTACAGTTACCAAAGGGGATGGGAGCAATGGATACATTAGGAGTTTGGGATTAACAGATACACATTACGATATATAAAACAGATAAACAACAAAGACCTGCTGTATAACACAGGGAACTATATTCAGTTTCCTGTAATAACATATAACGGAAAAGAATCTGAAAAGAATACACATATATGTATATGTATAACTGAATCACTTTGCCATACACCTGAAATTAACGTTGGAAATCAACTACACTTCAATTAAAAAACAACTTTTTTAATTAAAAATAGAAAGAAGTGCCCAGACCTTCTAGAAGATGATGGCCACATCTAAGGAGAGGGCAGTGTCCTGAGGGTCCACGCTTGGCTGTTCTGACCACTCTTGATTCTGAATGTCCCAATGTCCCCATCCCCCACCCCACACAATTAGAAGAAAAGAGAACAACGAACCCTGGATTCCTTCTAACGAAGTGTTCATTCAGAACAGCTTTCTATGAGGGCCCTTGGCCTGGAGGAGCGGGGGAAGCAGCCCTCCCCATGCAGGAGGGCCATCTCCAGGTGACCCTGGGCTGATTAGCTAGGTCCCCAGTGTAACCGAAATGGCCAGGAGATGGAGGGCACTGGACCATTGGCTGGCAGACACCATGGCAGTGTCTAGTTCACATTATGCTAGTGTCAACCTAGCATATGGTACTAACCTGGCAAGAAAGCACAGCTAGAATCTCCCCTCCACTTCCACCGACCAATTTGCTAGTAATCAATTTCGGTATTTTTTTAAATGACAAATGAAATAAAACGGAAAGGTCCACAGGGAGTAACAAGACTTAGACCAAGGCTTTCAAGAAGCTTCAGAAATGCCGCCTCCTCTCCATGAGGGAGAAAGGTGATGTTTTCCTCTACTTAATTTGCCCACAATAATTTCTATCTATCTGGATAAATAAACCCTGATAAATGAGAATCCAAATTTTCCCAATGCCTGCGCTTCCCCCTGGATGTTTTTGGTGGGTGGTCCTCTCTCAGCAGTTAGGGTAATCCCGATGATCCCGGGCAAGCTGGAAGGGAGCAAGTCTGTATTAAAGCCAAGAAATGATTTTCCCCCTCCAGCTTTCCAGGAGAAAGGAACGCTGTAGGGAATTGTGAGGCTGGAAATAAAGGGAGGCTGAATCCCACCATACCTGGATGTTTGGTGGGTGTGTGCAGGCTTACGGGGTAGAGGGAGGAGGAGACTGAAAAGTTTTTATTATTGCTATTGGATTATTTTTCTTAAAAAAAAAAAAGCCAGATACAACCGACTTTAATATAGAAAGAGGAAGATGAGGAGATGCTGGTGGCTGTGCTTAGACATGGAAGCTGGCCCAGGGCCTCCCGGCAGGTCGCCACATCTAAAAACACTTCAGTGCAGGGCCTGGCCTGCAGTTCTCTGCGAAGGGTTCAGACCGGAAGAGAAAGCCGAGGCCGGCCCCAGGGCCTTTGCGAAGGCTGGAAGACCAGCCAGGGTTACGTCGTTCCTCTGCGCCCTGTCCTTAGGCCCGGCTGCAGTCAACTCCGACTCCAGCTCGCTGCAGGCTGGGGAGGTGAAGCCGCCAGAGGCGAGGACGGCAGCCGGCAGCCGGACGTCCCACCGACCCTCAGCCCTTGGGAGTTCGCTCCTCTCCCCCGCACAAGCCGCCTGGAGACCCGGGAAACCTCACACTACCGGAGCGCGAAAGGTACCCTGGCGCCGGGTTGGCGCTTCCTGAAGCCCAGGAGGCCCTCCCCAAATAACAAAGCCGATTTTCCTCCAGACGCGGGCAAACAAGGTTGCCCACAGAGTCACCAAAGCCTAGCTCTCAGCAGCTATTTTCGTGGTTAGAGAAAAAGAAAAAAGAGACCGCGCCCTCCCCCGCGAGTGCTATGCACCCCAAGTCTCCCGCGAGGCGGGTCGCTTTCAGCCTGTGAGTTCCCTCCCGCGCCTGAGTGGGAGTTCGAAGCCCCCGCACCTTCGTCCCGCCCCCCCTCTTCGCCCCACCCTCCCGGATCCCCGAAGGGGCGTCTGGGCCTAGCCGAGGGCGCTGCGCGTGACCCCGAGCGGAAGGGCCCCAGTCTGGGTCCTAATGCGGGTGGCGTCTCCCTTGACAGGCGGCGTTTGGGGACAACAGCGGGGACGGGAGATAAGGTGACATACCAGAGCAGATTTGGCGGTGCGCGCGCTGATACTCCTCTCCCGACAGGAAACGCGGAGCTATTTAAAAGACCCTATCGATTACTTTATCTTTCCCGGAGGAAAGCTTCTTGCCGGGAGACAAAAGATGTTCCCTACCTAGAGATACAAGGCCACAGCCCTCAACACACTCAACGGAGGCTCGGCGCAGGCGACGCCCAATTAGGGCGCAGGGACGGCAGGGACACACTTACCCCGCAGAGTGCCAAGAGCCGCTCTGGAGGGCAGGAGCCGAGACGGGACCGAGGGGTACTTCACAGGATGATCTGCTGCACCCTCTGAAATTTTATTTTCTGACTTTGTGAATTTAAAACACGCACAAAGAAAGTGACTATGCACTTAAAGGACGCGTATGTGTACCCGAGCCCCTCAGCATATTTAAAGCGCACCCGCTGTGAACGTATTCCAAAGACACACGTCTCAAAAGTAAACACTCCACTGTGCTCCTTTAAAGTGCCTGAATGTCTGCAACTGTCATGTGTACACTTAAATGTGGGGACGCGTCAACGGCCCTTTATAGTGCGCTCATTTCCCGTCTTGAATTCCCCGCACCTCGCCAGTCTGTGGGCAGCGCAGAACGCCATCACCGCTATCCTGCTGCTGACACTGAGTTAGCTCCGGAATCCCGAAGCTCTTTGGCCTCCGGGTCCCCTACGCCATGCCCCCGGGCGAGATTCTCAAAAAATACCGAGAGAACCTAACTGCACGGAATCGAATTATTTTTCTGTGCAGAAATCTGCAAGCTAGGCATTCACAAGGTGCTTCTCCCGGCTGTGCAAACTTTGCGGCTTGTGCACAGAGCAGGTTGGAAGATAAGACAGGAAGAAAGATGCTGAAAAAGGAAAGGTGGCGGGCCTAGGAAGGTTCGATCGCCCATTTCCAGCTTAAATGCAACACTGACCAGGCCGCAGAAATCCGGGAGTGGAAGCTCTGGGAGCCGCGGTGCCAGCCTGAGCCCAGGAGGCTGCACAGATCTGGGCAAGACTCTAAGATCTCTCCCGGAGGCCAGTGCCGAGGACCAAGCCGCAACACTGCTGACTCCGCGAGCACCCCGCGCTTTGGGCAAAATCACACGTCCGCTCGCCCAGCTGGGCTTCTCCCAAAGCTTCGCACTCACTCCAAAGGTTTTTCCAAAGCCGTGGCTCCCGAGCTGTACACTCACCGGGCAGGTGTACACCGGCCCTGGAAAATCCATTTTCCTCTTCATCGGATTCCGAATCGTTGTCCATAGGACTCGAATGTCACCTGACTTTTCCAGCTGTGAACGCGAGCGACGGGATCCTGGGGGACTGGCTGCAGTGTCTTGGTTCCCTCCGCCTCTCCGCGCTGTTTTCGCTGGAACGGTTTGCAGCAGTGAGGGGAGGGGTGGAGAACCAGGGGGAATAGAGAGGAGAAAGCATGAAATTAACACGGAACGACAACGGAAGTTTGAAAGCGATGCGCTCCGATCTGGCAAACCTTAACACGAGTTTGAAACCGGATCATATCTATGCACACAGGATAAATTCCGTTTTAGAAACATGCCCCCCCAAAGCATGAGAAAGTGACTTACACAAAGATACTGGTAACAAAAACTGTCAAGTGCAAAAATGCAAAGGAATCGGGAAAGGTAGTTGCTCTCAGAAAAAGACAAAAACAAAAATTAAAAAACAATGTATTTGTTTGCTTACATTTGCAGGAAATGTCTCCAGAAGGGTACTTTTTTTTTTTTAAAGCCGGTGACTGCCTGGATTGGGGTAAGAATTAACTGGGAAGGAGCAGAAGGAAACCATTTGTGGTGACGCAAATGTTTTTGTATCTTGATTGTGGTGGTCCTTACACAGGTTTATTCATGTGTCAGGACTCATCGATTGTGTTTTGTTGTAGATACATTATGCCTCGATAAAGTTGATTTTAAAAATAAATAAACCCAGATACAACTTTGTGTTTAATGAAACTGGGTGGCGGGGGGAGAGTCCTGGGATGCTTTACATTGTATGTCTCTTTTCATGTGTTTATTTTGGCATTTTGTCGTTTTGTTTTTATGGTGTATTACTTACTCAAAATATGTAAGTAGGGTATTCAGTGATGTGAATATAAAACAATTGTTAAGGAAACCAACAAAAGCAAGACAGAGATGCCAATATGAAAACGAATATATGTATGTATATGCATGACTGGGACATTGTGCTGTACACCAGAAACTGACACAGTGTAACTGACTGTAGTTCAATTAAAAAAAAAAAAAGAACAGAAGATGCTTATATACTCCCTTGTAGGGATTTTTAAAAAGCATGCATTGTCCAAGCCCAGAAAATAGTTTGAAAGAGGAAACATCTTTAATGTCCAGATTTGTTTCTTTTGTTTTTGGGTCATATGTTTCAGACATCAACATAAATGAGGACCTAGAACTTTTCCGGTGTTTATGTGTGGTGTGGGTGGCTGTCATCTCCTCGAGGACTGGAGGCCAGCCACAGAGAGCTCCACACAAGGCCACAGGAGGTTTTCCTGGCTGGTTTATCCCTGCTCCCCAGAGTAGCATGCTATCCCGCTATCCTGCTTGGAGCAAAGACGAGATGGCCCGCTGCGCTGTCCGGAGAAGGCCAGATGCCCCGGGCAGGCGTGCTTCACACTGGGAGAGCCCTCCCAGGGGTCAAAGCAGGGCCTCCCAGAGGCTAAGCAGGCGAATGAGAGGCCCCAGACCTCGCAGCCTCTGTGGAACCCTATGGGGCTGGCAGTCTGGGACCAATGACTGGGAGGGTACCGACTCTGGGAGAAGCAGATATGAAATACCTCCATGTATTGCCCTGCAAGACAGGGAAGAGTCACTTTGGCCTTATTCAGACAGGTTCCAGATCTGGTTTGGATTCAGAGCTATTTCACAGAGAGTTTTGAAGGCAGGCCCTCAAGAAGACAGATGGACAGTGGGTCCAAGGCTGGGGGCCAGGGAAACTAGGACTTGCCAGACTCCTCTGCTGGCCTGGGGGCAGGGCCTGGGTGGGGTTACCAAGCCTTCCAGCCAGCCTCGTCTACTGTCCTACTCACAGCCACCCAGACCCACAGCACCTTCAAGCAGCAAGCCAAGGCATTGGTTAATTTAACGGAGCTGCATTCCCAGTGACCCCAAAACTAGTGTCTAGCCCCGGGACCAAAGCACAAGTCAAGGGAAATCATGAGGGCAAACATGAGTTTGCTGAGTGGTAACAGGGACCATTGACATCCTGTCCCTGGATAGTGCTGGACCAAAAAGCCACCCCACTGCTCTCTCTCTGATGCTCCTCTGACCACCCTACTCGGTCTTCCTACCACTGATGACTTAGCTCCAGTTCCCTCTGGGAAAGTGGAGATTTCATTGGCCGGCTGCACAGGAGGAAGTTTCAAGCTATATACACCTTTGATTTGCAAACTCCAACATGAAGGGTGGGGCCCATAAATGTGCATTTTTAACATGTACCCCAGGTGATTCTGGCCCAGATGTTTCTAGATGTTTCTATAGTCCAGATGTCTCTTCCCTTCTACAAAGGCACAATTTGATTCACTGTTTGGAGTTTGCCTTGATTGTGTTTTTTTTTAACTTTTTAAGGCAATATATGCATGTGGTAAACAACAAAACAAAACAAAATTAAAAAAAGAGGAAATTGTCCTTAAAAATGTACTAAAAATGTCACGTTTTTATTCTTGACCATCCCCCCTCATTCTTCCCCCGTTTCATTACCATTTTGTTTATCCTTCAAAAAATCCATAGAACCATACATATGTACATATGCCCATATTTAAAATACAAATTCTGCATCTGGATTTAATACTTAATGTGCCTCAAAATATATCCATAAGAATACATATAATGTAACAAACTCTTTCTCATGGCTGCTAGTATTCTGTTCCATCGGCGAACATAATTTTTTTAACCAGTCCTCCAAGATAGATATATTACGGGTTTTTTTCTAATGTTTTGATTCTTTAAAAAAATTTTTTTAATTGCAATAAAGATACTTCTTTTTCCATACAGGTGCTCATACAGAATAGAGTCTTAGAAGTGGAAATACTTGTTCAAAGGGCTTAAACGTTTTTAATTTTGATAGTACTAAATTGTTCCAAGGAGGTTTACCAATTAACTTTCAATCAACAACATAAAAGGGTGTTTAGGTAGGGTAATTATCAAACTTTGCGATCTTTGCCAATCTGATAAGTGAAAAAGTTGCCTCTTTGTTTTTAAATTTCTTTCTTCCTTTCTTGTTTCTTTCTTTCTCCCTTTCTTTCTTTCTCCAGCAAAGTTCTGCTACTCTTGGCCAATTTCAATTAAATGTTGCATCATTTTCTAATTCATTTACAGAAACTCTTTCCATATTGTGTAACTCAGTAGGGTTTTTGGTCATTATTTCAAGCATTTAACCTGTGTGTCATTTTTCTCTTTGATTCTATTCTGTTTTGCTTTGTTTTATTTTTCTGTACACAAGTTATTTTTATGCCATCAGGTTATATAATTCACCTTTTATAATTCTAGGTCTTTAGTGCTCCTCATTCACCCTCCTAAATATATAACCACTCCAAAATTACTATCTTAATTGTTATGTTTCAGTTTTTAAGTCTAAATTTTTAATCTATCTGGAATTACATGTATTTGATGTAAGAATAATCCATTTCCCTTTCCCTAATGTCACTTTCACTTTATTTCGAGTATGTCTTGCTGTATGGACCCCAAAACAGTGTAAACTGACGATAGATAGGGACCTTATTTCCCATCTTTCCAGTTTCACTTTGCAGATTAGACAACCACCAACATGCTGCTCCACCCCTCCCCACCGCCCAGGTGAGTCCAGGTAACAATAGGGAATGTTTCCCAGAATAGCACAACTAGGAAGAGAACTTAGGTACACCCAAAATCACCAAGGAAACAAACATGAAATCAGTGAGAGAGGAAAAAGGATGTGCTGCAGAAGAGCCAATCAGTGAGGGAAGCAGGACCAGAACCCAGTACTAGCTCATAGTCTAGCACTCATTCTGGCACAACTCTGCCTCCTTCAAGGTCTGTGTGTCATGGACTGTGCAACCCCAGCACCTGGTGCATGGTGGCCACCCAGTCAAGGTGGGTAAAGAGAAACAGAAATCAGCCCAAGTTTCCCATAGTGACTAGGCTATGGGGTCACTTGGTGGCTGGGTGGAAGTTCAGGCCTGCTCTTCTAGCCTTTCCCCTCACTGCTCACCACGCCTCAACACACTTATACATACCTGCACATAATATTCACCAGCCAGCTGGGTCTGCCCACTGCTATCCCCTTCTGTGGGCTCCAAGCCCTTCTTATGGCTGAGCAACTTTGGATGGACAGCCTTTAATGCAGCTCAGGGGACTTCCTGCCTGATCCAGCTGGCTAGCCAAGGCTAAACCCTGGGGCAAAGGAAGCCAAAAGCCTGACAGATTACAGGGGCCTTAGGGACATGAAGATAGTATTTCCAGGACTCTGCTCAGACCGCCCAAAGAGCAGAACCAGCTATATCGTTGGTGGGGCCCGCTGCAAAATGAAAACGTGGAGCCTCTTGTTCCAAATGTAGCAAGAATTTTAAGACAGCAACAGCAGAACACGGGGGCTTTTCTAGGTAAGTTCAGGCCCTGTGTGACTGCACAGTTGGCATACCCATGAAGTCAGCATTCAAGGAAGGACAGGGTTAATTGTAGGGGAAGGCAGGAGAAGGGTCCTCCCCAGGCCTCTAAAGGTTCAGAGTTTAGGGCAGAAGTGGCCTGGGAGATTATTCATAGCAGCCAAAAGGTGGAAGCAACCCAAATGTCCATCAACTGATGAATGTAGAAACAAAATGTGGTATAGCCAAACAATAGGATATCATTCTGCCATAAAAAGGAACAAATCTGGGAGTTTGATATTTGCAAATGTTAGCCACTGTATCTAAAAATAGATTACAAAAACAAATCTCTTCTGTACAGCACAGGGAACTATATTCAATATCTTGTAATAACCTTTAATGAAAAAGAACATGGAAATGAATATATGTATGTATATGCATGACTGGGACATTGCGCTGTTCATCAGAAACTGACACATTGTAATTGACTATACTTCAATTTTTTTAAAAGAGGAATAAATTACTGATACATGCCACAGCATGGAGGAACCTTGAAAATGGGAGATGGTGGGGAGGGAGGGTTGATGGCTAAAGCCTACAGATTCTTTTGGGGGTGATGAGAATGTCCTAGAATTAATTGTGGGATGATTGCAGTACTTTGTGAACATACTAAAAGTCACTGAATTGTATACTTTAATGGATGAATTATATGGTAGGTAAATTATATCTATTATATCTCAATAAAGTTGTTACCAAATAAGAAGAGAAGGGGGAGGAGGAGATGGGGGAGGAGGAGGAAATAGAGGAGATAATGGAGGAGTGGAGGAGGGGGAGGAAGAGAAGGAGGAGGTGGAGGAGGTGGAAGAGAGAATAGAGGAGGAGCAATCTTAAATTTCTCTTTCTCTCTCTCTCAGACGAACTTTTTGCCAGAAGCCCCCTCGTCCATGAAGGTTTTGGCGAACCCAGCATCCCAAATCCAACAGCCTGCTCCTCCTCTCTAGCTGCGGGGTGTGTGTGTTTGGGGAGGGGATAGTGTTTTGCTTCCTCTCCAATTAATTGGCTCTAGGAGGCAGCGACGTACAATTTAAAAAAAAATCACAGCTCTGTAGTTAGTTCAGTGTTCGAATCCTGACACTATCACTTCCCGCCTGTGTGACCCTGAGCAAGTCATTTCACCTCTCTGAGCCTCTTTCTCCTCCGCTGCGCAATCGAGATAAGCGGATCAGCGATGACGGTCGAGAGTGTATGGCTCTCCCAGTGGGAGCGCAATAAATTGGAACCGGCTGAGCCACCTGAATAAGGAGAATGCCGGGCAGGAAAAATCCGCTGCCGCTGAGGCCGCCCGGACTCTTCTGGAGCCCAGGGCGAGGGAGGCAGCCCCCAAGAGTCGCCCCCCACTCCCAAACCCGGGCCCGGCCCGGAAGGAAGCCGGGACGGTTGAGAGGCCCCGAGGCCGGCCGGGCCGGGGAGCCCGGGCGAGGGCCGGGAGCCGGGCTGCAGCCGCCGCTACTCATCCATCAGCTGGACGAAGAGCAGAGGCGCGCTCTCGGCCCACTGTTTGCTTTCTCGCCAATTATTGCCGCGCCGTGGCCCCTTTGTTGATACAGTAGTCCGAAAAAGTGCTAATGTTCATTTATCAGGGGGCCTGCCGGGGACTCCCACGAGTTGCGATTCTTCCCAAAATATAAACACGGGGCGAGCGTCCCAGACAGAAACCCCCATCTGTTTCCCCGGCGCGGGCCGAGAGCGAGGCGTTGTTGAAGATAAAGCCGAGGATAACGCCGCCTGTCTCCAATGGACGTCTCCCCGGCGCATTAATGACATTCCCGGTGATAGTTCCAGCTTATCTTTCAATTAATCATATATACCTTTCGCGGCCGGCCCTGCTTATTGCAGGAAAATGCGGGCCGGCTCAGGCCGCTCCGATCGCTTTTCAATTAATAATATTTTATGTGCGCAGAATGCGCGCAAGTCATCCTGGAATTTGGCTCATATTAAGCACCGACTCTTTAAAAGGCAAGGAAATGGACAGATTTTCGGTCTCTCCTCTCTGCCTCCTTTTGTCTTTCTCTAGACTGAAGGTTGTTTGTTTGTCCTGCTAGTTTGGCCAAAGTACCGCTTAAAGAGGCGGCCAGGTTGGGTCAGTCGCGCTTGGGACGGGAGATGCACCCCTGGTGGGACTAGAGAATCAAATTTCATCCCTTCCCATCCCCAACCACTGCAACTTCTATTTAAAGAAAACAAAACAAAACAAAAACATTTTTTTTACTCACTCAAATTGTGAGGACTGAAAGGAAAAGTTAGAAATTGCTCTTGGACATTTCTCTGCAGAGACCAACATGGGTTGCCCCAATTTTGAGTTTTGCACGTGTTTATCCGGTTTTGCCCCCGGTTTCCTCTCTCTGGCCTGTTTTAGAGTCAAGAGAAATTATTACCAATTCACAGAGGGTGCAGGGGGTGGAAAAGTCACTGATTTTGTCCGAAAAGGGAGAGTTTTCTTTTCTCCCCTTTTCATGACACCTGACCCACAAGTCTTGTCAGCTCTGGGAACCCCCATATCCGAAAATATGTGATAAATCTTCATCTCCTTGATTTGCAGAGGAAATGCTGATTTTTTTTCATCCTCCAGAGCTCTCTCTTGACACACACACACACACACATACAACTAAAAACAGGGATGCCGGATGCAGCCTCGATGTCCCCCATTAAACGGTAATATTTCAGGCGTCAGCTCACACTAATCTTTCAAACTGTCATCGCGAGCCGCCAGGCCAGCCCATTCACTTCGCAGCGCTCCCAGGACCCTCGCTCCGAGCTCTTTTCAGTGAGACGTTTAATTGAATCGGATGTGGCTCGTTTGCCAGACGTCACCGCCTCGGCGATAGGCATTCTCTCCCACTCCCCAAAAACATTTTTCAAAGGCGAAGCAGGCCCCCAAGCTAGGTTAGTTGAGGGCAGTAACTAACATTGGCCAAAAGCCGCGGTGAGGTACGGCCGCCCAAAGAGAGGCCACTGATCTGCAGATCCGTCGAGGGAGAACCTAGGTTGGAAGGCTGGGAGGTGTGCTGGTGCAGAGGGCTCCTGGGGCTTTGAGAACGACCCCACATCTCTGCGTAGAGATGCCCACAAAAAAAAGACATCTCTACGCAGACCAAGCTAATAATCCCAGAACCTCGCATTGCCCCCGGCTTGAAGACGTGAAGCGAGATTCTGCCTCTGTGGAGGGGGCCTGGTTCTGGCGGCTGGCGGCTGGCGCCTGGAAGCCGGGGTCGGAGTGCTCCGAGCCTCTGCAACCGACCACCGTGCTGGGCTCCGCTCTCCTTTGCCTAGGCCGGGGTCCACAAGCCCTGCTTGCAAGTATGGGCTTGATGAAGGGCTGGTAAAGTCCCAACGTTAGGCCTATGCTTGACTCCACTCGCTTCCTTCCCAGTGGCCCTGCCTGATGGCTCACCATCAGGCTTGAGCACCCTAAGGCTCACTTTCTGGGCCTGCTTTGTACATTTCCTGGGCGCCTTGAGTGCATATTCTGGACTCTAAGGCCCAGAAGCCGTCACCTTGGCATGTTTTTGGCCCTACGCACCTTTCTTCTAGTCCAAAACACTTCTTCCCCAGTTCACAACTCGCCCTCCACAAGGAGCTGAGTCATACAAATCTCCATTGCCAGAAAGTCTGCGTGCTCCACTTGGACTTCCCCTGCAGAAGCTGGAGTCTTGGGAAATCCACGTTATTCCCCTGAAAAGCCTCTCCATCTCCAAAGATAGGGTAAGGCAGCGACCTTAACCTGGGACCGTTTTGTACGCCCAGATCCTTCCTCCCTGAAATTGTACACAAAACAGAGAACTTCTCTGCAGTGTTTCAGGGGCATGGAGTGGAGAAGGCCTCCCAAGCTTTCATCACATCTCCTGAGGGACCCAGAGGGATGAGGCGGACCAGTGCTAGATTGGCCAGGTAGCTTGTTCTCCTGAAACACTGACAGATTTGTCTGACAGAAGATACCTACTTTACTGACCCTGGGCTAAAAATTAACACCCTGGCCCTTCCCCCATAGGCCTGGCCAGGCCCGCTGCCACGGCGCCCCACTCGGAGCCCGCCCAGAGAAATCTTGGCTGCGCTGGACTCAGAGAAGCCCCGCCTGCCCGAGACCTAAACCTGAGCTGAGGCCTGAGGCCCTGGTGCTGACAAAGGTCTGGGGGCCTTGCTGCCAGGCAGGGAGGGCAGGAATGACCAGCCTCCATAACTGGAGACACTAGGCCACTGGAAGCTAGAATGGCCTAGAAGACAGCTCTCTTCTGGCAAGCTGAGTACACCAGCTGGGATTCTGGATTTGTTTCATTATTAAGGGGAGGGTCATCTCTCTGGGAGGAGACTGGTAGTGACTGGTGTCTCCAGGAGTTGTGTTTGTGTTACTTGCACGTCTGTAGGAGGTGGCCACCCCCATCCCACAACCATCAACCTTGCTTTTCAGCTTGACTCACTCAGGAATCCCCAGGGTCTGGCCTCTTGGAGAAGGGCAGACTACTAGGGCATGAGTGGCCTGGTAAGTCAAGCCACACAGAATCCCCAAATTATCCAGAATGTCCCGCTCCTGCCATCAACCCAGAGCAAACCCTCTCCCCATGCTTTTCTTATTCAGACTCTTTCAAGCGAACACAGTCAGTAATAAAGCGTTTGCGACTCCTGGAAATAACTCCATTTCTTCAGCCTCCCATCCAATCCTTCACTCTCCTATTCAGTTTCAGGTACTGAGGAACATTTCTTCAAATCCCAGATCCACCCAACTCAGCCCAAAAGCCGGATTCAGAGAATAATCAGATCCTTTCCTGTGCATGCGTCCTGGTAGGGGTTTCAGGCGGATACTACGGAAAACTCTCAGGCTGCAGAAGCAAAAGGGGAGCCTTCCAAGAGCGTCGCGGCCCCTTTAAAAAGCTGAGCGGGATTTTTTTGAGTCGTATGACTATATTAGGTGACACAAAACTGCTCATCGCTCCTGTCA